GATTGGGGATGTGGTTTAAGCAAGTAGCCACAAGATTCCTAATATTTCATGACTGAATAAGGAGATCGGGCTACCGACCTCTCACCGGCAGAGCCGGACACTTTGTGCCTCCCTCATTGGGCCACTTCTTCCTGCCTGGTTGTGGAGGAGAAAGGTGGCCAAGGACAGGCTACTCCACAAAGCAGAGCATGAATAGCACCAGGCCGCAGCCGGTCAGGCCCTTTATCCCGAGTAACCAGTCCCGTCATTCATTCTACACAAGGCCAGGGAGGTCATGTAGAGTTCCTTTCCAGCTTTACCCTCCTGGGAATCTTTATGGAAATAGGAGCTTTGGGAGCATAATTTCCCTCTTACCGGTGAAGAATCACCATCTCTATTAGTCATAGGAAAACAGAGATGACTGGGAGTCTTTCCTTAATTTTTTCTGCCTCCCACTTGGCTGAGCTGAAGGGAGCCATCTGTGGCTGCTACATATGATTTTGTCGACTTTGTAATTCCACACCCCCTCCTTAATTCCCTACCATGTGGCCATAAAATTCCCTTCAAATCATTCGTTTAAAAAATAAAATGTGTTTCTTCTCCTATGAAATGCAGTTCTTGTCAGAATGCTTGTGCTGTTTGCTCTCTGATGCAACCATTCCACTGCATTCGCGCTGCTTGCTCTTTCTGCCTCGCTGTGGGGTCCTCTCCAGGTGCAACTCTGTGGCAGCCTTGTTTGGGCAGCAAAGCCCTGCAGGAGGGCATTAGGAGACAAGAGCTAATTGGAATTTTGTGATTAGCTGTCATGGATGCCTGGTCCTGTCAATAGAGCTCAATAAAGCCACAAGGCCAAGCATTCCCTTCTGCATACTGATTGCTGAGTCAGATTTCTCAGTGCAGAAGTGCTTTTCAGGCGGCCAATTTTAGAATATAAGTCTTGGTTCTTAAGTGGTTAAAATCCCTAGCTGGTCTTTAATCCAAGTCTGGAGAATTCTTAGTCATGGCTGAGATTCTGCTAGGCTCCTGTTGCCCTTAACATGTGTACACAAATCTTTCCCCAGATTCTTAGATCTCTGAATCAGTTATATCCAGTTAACTGTGTATCTTCCTAGTCTCAGAGAGTGCTAAGTACATATGCCACCAGGTTTAGAGAACAGGAGAACTTCCAACTGTCCTTTTCCTTCTCTCTGCCTCTCTGCTAGTCCAGGCCCTCACTCATCCTCTACAACGCTGTGAAGGGCATTAGGAGGTTTTCTGGGGCTACCATAGTTCCTGTCCATCCCGAGGTCTGGTGTTCAGCTCTTTCTCCAGTCCTGTGAACTGCCCTCTCACTATACTTCTATTTTGGCTTAAGCTGGCCGAAGTTTCCTTGCAACCAAAGGACTAATAAAACACCAGCTTGCAATGATCTCTGTTGCTTCAAACTTAAGCAGCATTGCCTGTCTAACCCACCTACTACTTCTTTTTATTGGGTAATTGTCTGTTTGTTTGCATGCCTTGTCTCGCCATAGAGAATGTGGTCTTCTCAAGCGTTCTGGACACTTGCATCCATCTGTAGGTGTCGTACAGCACGTAGCAGTGCCTTTCACAAAGGACGTGCACAACAGATACTGACTGATTGATCCATTTTCTCCTTCTTTATTCCCAGTCACATCAAACAGCTCCATGCGGATACAAGGCAAAACACTTAGCTTTACTTGCAGCTGCAGTTCTAGCCCCACTGCAGCTAACAGAGGATCCAGAGAGGCAAATAGAATCCTGCTGGCCAATCAGGCCCCCGACCTTCGGAGGCCTCCTGGCCAATGGCAGAGCTTGTGGCTCCTGTTGCTTGATTGTCTTCTCTCCCACTCACTCTGTATATACCACTCGAGGCTCTCCCTGGGCCCTAAGTCCCCATAGTAAAGGGCCAGATGTAGAGAAAAATCATTATTTTATGCAATCCTAGCAGTATAAAAATGGAATATTCTGGTGGGTATTAATGATAAGCACATTTTTCTCTGTATGAGAGAAAGAAAAAGGGTAATAACTAGAATAACACATATAGAATATGTGTATTATTCAGAACTTTTTGAAGGAAGTGACAGTCACTCAATTCAAACCAACCTGAGTCAAAAAGGAAACTATATTGGTTCATGGATGTGGCCTCAGGGACAAGGGAATGGCATACCAGGATTCCTCCAGCGTGGGTCACCTGTCTGTACCAGAGGGGAGAGTGGAGTCTTTTTAGAGGAAGGGGTGTGTGTTTGGGTGGGGGTAGGGCTAAGCAGTCAAGGACAAGGGCCCCTATACCATTTAAAAAATAGTGTCCTGTGATTCCTTCCTAAATTTCACAAGGCTTTCAACAAAGTAGCACACAGGACAAAGAGTACAGGGACTATACTCATGGGTGCTCTGTGTGTATCAGTAGCCTGGTGCTTGCCTTGAAAGGCTCTCTCACCGCCTGTACCTGAGGTGACAGGTGCCGTATAAAAGCTTCTACAGGTTCCTCTGAGCCCCTTTCCTGCTGCTTCACACCAGTGATCTCCCTCCTTTCCTGACCCCTGAGACTGATGGCTTGTTTGCATGGACTGCCTTCATCCTGGAGGAAAATGCCATCATATTATCTTAAACCAAATAAATTGTAGCCATTGGGCCAGTTTCCCACACCTCCAGTGGGGCCTTGTTCCAAGAGCCCTTCACCCTCATTTAGGTCAAGCACTCCTAGCAAAGGAAAGGCCTTGTTCACAATAGACAGTCTAGAAACTGATTGGTTTTGACATGTTGTAAAATTTGTTCACACTTGGGAACTAAAACATTGTCCCACTGAAAGCAATGCCAATCAGGCTGCCCATGGAATACAGGGAGGCCCAAGTGGGGGGTGGTCTAGAGAGCTATGTTTTTAGGAGTTAATATATTCTCCTAAAGGAGAATACCACCCTTAAGGCTGAAATGACCACCAGTAAGCCTGTCCTGTCCATGGAGTTGGTCTCCTGCAGGGCAGCCTCAGGAATGGAGCCCACCTCTTCTGTGTGGCCAGCCTTCCCTCCTTCAGAAGTCTGCTGTGCTCTCTGCTGACGCTCCACAGGGAAGGCAGTGCCTGAATCATCAAACCGTCACCTGGAGTCATAAGTACTCCTGACAGTCCGAGAAAGCATCCACTCTGGAAGCTCTAAAGCCTGTGACAGATTGTAAGAGAGAAACGAGAAAGCTGAGCTCTTCAGATAAACCTTGCTTTTTACAAGTCCCCTAATTTTACTGCATAATTATTTTGAATCCACTGATAATTTGTACCATTTTCCTGTAAGTCATTCATACACAATTCCCTCTCATGCAACACTTGGCTTTGCTAATATATATGTATTAAAGAGAGCTGTGCTTCTCAAGTGCAGTTTTATATGTGTTATGACTCCTGGCTTACATATCAAGGAATATTGAGTACTATGACAAAATTTTATTCTCTACACATGTAAAGAATTCACTGGATTGGCTGAAAAAGACTTTTCTGTCAGTTTCTGTGCTCACTTGTAGCAAAGAAATTATTAGCTAAAGGACAAAAAAAGTGCAATCTATGCAGTTAAAGGAAAAGACTGACTTGGCCCAATGTAAAAATAAAACAAAAGAAGCTGTATTTAAGACGGTGTTTCTTTAATCGGGTCATTGAGTCTATTAAAAAAATTTTTTTTAATGATGACAGCTATCTTGACTCAAGTGGGCAGTGATGACGTCTTTAGGGGTTTGTATCTACTTACAAAGATGGTGGCTTTGCCATAAAATCTCACCTGGCACAAGTTCCAAGAGAAATGGCCAGGCTTTCTCTTAAAAGCACTCCAGGTGGTTTCAGTCTGCCAGCCAACCAGAGGGAATGAACAAATCCCAGTGTTAGAACACCTCTGGGGAAGTCATTCTGCCAAGGTCTGATCACACTGTTACCATTTCCAGTTCATTAAATGTTGTCCCAAGGCCCCAACACTGCTAATTTTTCTCTCATTGGTGATCAGTTTAAGCACAAGGAATTACATATTCTTCTTGCCTTCAGGATATACTCAGACTTCCTGCAAAGATGTTCTAAGCAAGGAGCTTAGATTTCCGTAGAATCTGTGCTTCCCCTGCCATTACTCAACTCCATTCAGTTGTTAATTCTGTCCAGAGAGTCTCGGAGACAGGCGTGAGGAAAGTGTTCTGTATCCTCTGCCATTCTCCAGGCGAGAGAGCGAGCATTGGTGGAAAAGCTGACCTTACAAAGGCACGTTAATGCTCCATGATGGTGAGGACCTTCACTAGATCATTCCTTTTAAGAAAAAATACACACATGCGCACACACTCGTACAACATTACTGCAGAACAACTGTGATGGCAATTTACATACTGAACCAGCTGTTTCCTAAGAATGTTTTTTCCAACATCCTCTCTCGACAGTGAATGCAGAAGACTTAGGTTGGAAAAGTGCATTAGCTTTTGATTAAAAATTGGATTAGGGCCAGTGAAATTTTTAAATCTGAATGAGCTTGCTGACTCAGACTCCTTAGCAGCATAATGGACAGACAGTCCTCAAAGCTTTCATTAAAAGGGTTTCTGGTAACTGATGTCTGAAGAAATGAGTCGCAATATAATTCACTCAATTACTCAGCTTTCATCTAAAACAGAATATGTGATCTTGAAGAACTTAACTGGTCTCCTGAAAATGTCAGGTAAAATTAAAGAAGCTCGAGTTTAAGTATTTTGAAGAAAGGAACCCTCCAGTAGCTTTGTGACTATATTATTTTATCCTTTTGAATCCTGTATTTAATTCTGTTTATTGCATTTTTAGTGCAGCTGGCGTCACCAATCTGCTGATAACAAAGTCTAGCGTGGTTTGTGGGAGGTTCTCAGGATGTATCAGAGACTGATTTGATACGAATTTTATTTTTAATTTTTGGGCCTCTCTGAACTCTGCCTTCTCTTTGTTTTTTTCTTAGTAGCAGGAACAAACTGTTTGCAGAAATCTCCCCAGGAAGCCTGGCTACAAAAAGGCCACTGACACCAGCCCGGCTGGGGAGGCAGTTCATAAATCAGAACCAACAACTCTCAACCTTCAGGCTGTAGCCCGAGAAGTGTCCATGCTCCGACAGTGTGCACTCTCTTCTGTGTCTCGTGGAAGAATGTAAATGATCTATTTTAGCTTCCTTTCCCAGTTCAGTAACATCTGTTCTGTGTATGAGTTTGTAGCAGTGTCTCCAGAAGGGGATAACAAGGGTCGTTTCAGAAAATGGGCGAGTTCTTTGCGGTAAACTCTGGGTTGAAGGATTCTTGAAAACTTGTCTACTCAACGAGGTTGGGAGCTCCTTGCAGCAGCAGCTCTGTCTTTTACTCCTCCCGGATCTCCCCAGCCACTCCCAGGTGGCAACAGGATTCCAGAATCAGTTACCAAGCCATTTAAATTTTTTTTCTGAAATGTGTAGTAGACACCTTTTAGGGTGGATGCCCAGTTCCCCAAAGATCGCTGACCTCTCTTGAAATCAGCTCTAGCAGACATATTTACGGTAAATGATTCTTTCGGAGGCAATAACTGGTTGGAACAGTGATGGACAATTACTACAAGATGGGCTAATCAGATTCTTTCTCTTTCTCTTGCTACCTCTTGCCCTGGAATTTCAAGTTGAGATTCAGAAACAGCCATTTACTTCCTGCATGTGGCTAGAACTGTAACATGTGAACTCAGAACTGTAGGGATGCAATATTGTACCCAGTGGAGAGGGGAGCAGAGGAAGCCAGGCTACACATAGAAAATGAAGTAGCAGAGAGAAACAGGCATGAATTTAGAGAAGGCTGACATCTTTCTGGCTAGACTCCAGTCAGTTCAGAGGTCCAGATGCATTCCTATCTGGGAGCATCATGATCCTCTTTTGTAAACCTATAATAAATCCTGTCCCATTCCTTTTCATGTTTGCCTAAGTTATTTTGCTCTTGAAACAAAAAGAGTTCTAAATGACATAAAATGTAGGTTATACAGAAAGTAGAATGGTGGTTGCCAGGGACTGCTGGGAGAGGGGAAGTGCAGAGTTTTGTTTAATGGGTATAGTTTCTGTTTTGCAAGGTGAAAAAAGTTCTGGAGATTGGTTGCACACCTGTGTGAATGTACTTAGCACTACTGAACTATATGCCTAAAATGCTTACTATGGCAAATTCGGATGTTGTGTGTATTTTACCACAATTTAAAACAACAGTTTAAAAAGTGCCTTTTAGAGTCAGCTTCCAATTCTTCTTCACTGTTACAGCCTTATTGGGTTCCATTGCCCCAGGAGTAGACAGTTGTAGTTTATAAGACTGGTCTCACCACTTCTACCCCCTTGGAAGTTGGTCCCCAGCAATGTACTCTGCACACATGGAGCAATTCATGTTCCTAAAACAGTGCTCAAAATGCCTCTCTCAAACATACAAGCCTTCATGGCTACGTACTGAATTCAAGGTCAAGTTCCATTCCCTAGCATGGTATACAGCACCTAATTAGCCTTTTCAACCTTCTTATCTTCTGAGGCCCAGCAGGATGCAAGCCCATCCCCAGAACTGTACTTACTCATGCTGTTCTCCACCTTGGATACCTCCCTTCTGCTCACCACGTCTCATCTCTCCTTCAAAACCCAGTTCCATCCAACATTTGCTGAGCCTTCTAGTTCTCCAGGGACATTTATTATTTGAGTTACATTTCTTGACCTTTCAATACACACATTTTCCTATGCATCTATTTGTTATTTTGTTAGTTCATAAATTGCTTGATGATAGGAACTGGGTCTTGTATTGTTCTACCCCCTTGGAAGTTGGTCCCCAGCAATGTACTCTGCCCGCATGGAGCAACTATTGTTCCTGTTGCAATTATTCTTATTAGCAGTAACAGTATTAAGAGGCACGATCACTGGGAAAAGTAGCATATGAAGCCAAGATTCGTTATGAACTCCCTCAAGGGGATGAGTCTACTAGCCTTTTCATGTTACTTCCCAAAAGGATGGTTCAAGATGAGAAATGTGTAGAGATGATTTTTTTCTAAATTGCCTACCAGGATATTGTATTCTTGGTAGGCTCTTTATAGTGCTTGTTGCACTATCAGACACAAAGAGGGGCTGCTTTACTAGCTTGCCTCTTCAAGACAGACACTTGCAGAGAAGCAGCAGAAACATTCATTAAACACTTAGGATTTGCCAGGTACCATGCCAAGGGTTTTACTTGGATTATACAACTCATTTAATCATCGCAACAGCCCTATTAATAGGTATGATTATTACTCTTATTTTATAGATAGGAAATGCAAGTCCATACAGTTAAATAACTTACCAAAGATCATATATACAGTAGGCGGCAGAGGCATGATTCTGAGCTAAATCTATTTGGCTCCTAAACCTGTGCTCTTTCCACTGTATCACCACACATTCCATACTTTATTGTAATTGCTCACTTTCTCGTCTGGTTCTCCTGTGAATTATAACTTCCCTGAGGGCAGAGATGTTGTCTTAGTATGTGGTGGAGGCTCACTAAATATCTATTAAAGAAATGAAACACAAGCTGCCTTTCTGTTTTAGGACAGAAGGGGAGGAAGAAAGGAAGGAGGGAGGGAGGCACAGAAGAGAAGAAACTTGGGGGAGAGCTCATCCCGCTCCTAAGCTTGGCAGGGCTCAGTCTTGCAAGGGGCTTGGCTAGAAAACCCTGGCTCATCTTTCTGAACCACATTCCCTGTGTCATTGATCCCTTTCTTCTGGGGAGTTATTCAATCATATGTTCACAGCGTGGATGGTAGTTGGTGATGAATATTCTTTTGCTCCAGTCTCTCTTGGCCAGGGTCCCTTGGCTTCCAGCCTGCTCCTTGCTTGTTTTGAACAGATAGTACATAACCTTCCTTTCTGTCTGATAAATGCTGAACTCTGGCTTCTCTTAGCCATCAGGCCTAAATAAAAAGAAAAATATGGAACTGTGTGCCCAGCCCTGCCCATCCTGTACCCCTGGCTTGTTTTCAAGGGAGCTATAGAATATGAGTGGTGACACAGGTGAAAGGATGCGTAGGCAGGTAACCCCCAGCTGCAGTTCCTGAAATTGTACTATGGGGGTTATTTTGTTGATTTAAGAGTCTCCTCTTTCTCCATTCCCATCCACATCTCAGTTTCCTTTCCTATAAAACAGAGATAGTGTGGTTGTTGTAAGTATTAAATGAGTTAATGCACATATGTGCTTAGCACAGTACCTGCCACTCAATAAAGAGGAGCTATTGTTCCTGTTGCAATTATTATTATTAGCAGTAACAGTATTAAGAGGCACGATCACTGGGAAAAGTGGCATATGAAGCCAAGATTCATTATGAACTACCTCAAGGGGTTGAGTTTCCTAGCCTTTTCATGTTACTTCCCCAAAGGATGCTTCATCAAGATGAGAAATGTGTAGAGATGACTTAGGACAGATCTGGAGATGAGGCATGCTGTGTAAGTGCAGCATTAGGAGGCAGGAGGGAACAGGGACAGGGCACAGTATGGTTAGTGAGAACTCTCCTGTTTGCAAGTGATGGAAAGTTCATTCAGGCTACTTTAAGCCATAAGAGAACTTTCCAGAGGGTCCCGGGTAATTGCCAGGACCAGGAAGCAGGGTCTCTTGTCTCACTCCCAATTCTCCTGAATTCTACCAGGCTTTATTCTCTTTTTCTGCAAACAGACTTTTATTCCATGGTGGTGATGATGACTAACAATATCTCTTAAGTCTCACCTTTCTAACTCTGTGACCAGAACTTCAAGGCCTCTTCTCCTCCACTTCAAATTAAAAAAATAAAAAATCCCAGAGCAGGACATTTGCTGGCTAGGTCTGGGTTATGAGTACAACCCTGGCCTTGGGGTTGAGGAAGTCAGAACTAGGGTGAGAAGCTCTGTAAGACTCACAAGAGCAGAGCAAAGTAGGAGCTAGTCAAGCAGAAAACAATGTATCTCCACCGATTTTATAATATGTTCTAGGAAAGCAGATATCCATGGACTAGATGGCCTGAACATTTTCTTTCAGGCAGATGAAAACCCACATTGTTCCATCTACAGTTTTTCCATTCTCTTTGTGAGGAGTTTCCATGGAGAGGCTGGTTCCATGGGGGAGAGTAGGAAGAACACAGTCACGCTGTTCCTTACGGGGGCACCTCCTTATCGCTAGCTTAGTCCAGTCCTTCCCACGGTTCACACGTCAGTCCGTCCTCTTGCGGCTTCTGGGCTCTTTCCTTTTTCTTTGCATGCTGTTCCTATTCCCTTCTCTAAAAACGACTCTATTAAGAGGGAGATTAGCCAAGTGGGCTGACTTGATTATGTGCTGATTTAATTCATAATCATATAGAAAATGGATAAGAAAACGTAAGACACACTTTAATAGCTCAGGATATAAAACACGGAGTACAAAGCAAACTGCAGGCTTTCTCACCACCCACAGACCAGTGGAGCTGCAGCTCTCCTGGATCAGGCTGGGGAGATCACAGTCAAGAGTAGGATCTAATATCAACTGCGGCGATGTCCAGTTTTGTCTGGGAAGACCATGGCAGTGGGGGATGGAAGGGATGACATCAAGTCTTCAGAACATGTCTGTATGTTCAGGACTAAGGTTAAATAAGGAGAGAAAACAAACGAAGTACAATTTCATTAGCTGTCTGACTGGGCCTAGCATGAAGTGTTATCAGAATGTGCTATTAACTTGGAAATGTTGGACATTGTTCTTCCCATTAGGCAAGAGCCCGAGTGAAATGGAGAGAAACAATGATGCTTTTGCAGTTTACAATGCCCTTTCCTATACAATATTCACTTTAATCCTCCCAACAAGTTTGAGGAGCAGTAATGTTATTCCAGTTTCACTAAAGGGAACACTTGGGCTAGAGCGCAGGAGCTTGGCCAGTGGGTTTGGAAAGTTGAGCATCAGTGGTTTTTAATTTTAGTATAAAGAGGCACCTAGTGAGCTTCCAAAGTGCATGTTCCTGTTTTCTATTTTTGAGTCAGTCTGGGGAAACTAAATTTTTATCATGCATCCTACATGATTTTGAAGGATGCACTCCACTGAGTATACAATATGAAACATTGTCCTAGGCGCATATTCAGGTGACTATGTGAGAAACTGAAGCACGCAAACCATGGGGACCAAGTTATTTGACCTTCCTGAGCCTCTCAGTTTCCTTATCTGAAAAATGGATAATGAAATAAAAAGAGCGAGCTGCCATGCCAAGTGAAGCGCATGTTTCCTCAATCTCTGTAACCCTGGGAGGCCAGTGGTGATGGTTGTCCACAGGTTAGGGGACTCAAACCCAGGTCATTTCTATTGTCCCCTTCTTTGCATGATTGCCAGGAAGAATAGAAGTAATAGAAAGTATTTAGCCCCTATTCCTGATGTTGAATGAATGGCAGCAGCTGTTATAACTAACTACGAAGACTGTCAATACTGACAATACAGCCACTGCTAAGATGCAGCATTTGAAACAGATAATCAGTACGGTCCCTTCCAGCTCTGCCATGCTGTGATCTCAGCGCATCAAGTATTCTCTATTTAAAGGAGCTCCTAGAAAAAGTGTGGCAGTAACTTAGCTCACCTATATGAGTGACCCATTCTTCCTTTAAATGAAAATTTGATCTTTTAAAGAGTGACCCTATTACAAAGACTAGACAGTTACAGAAAAAAAAAGAACTATTGTGCCTTGATAGTATGGTTATGGATGATTTTTTTCTTAAATAGTTCCCTTTTACATATGTTAATATGTTTCCTATATCAAATACAGATTTGGTATAGAGATCTGATTTGTCTTGTGCCACTAATTTACAGTATATTTCTTAAATTTGTTTTTACCATATTCAGCAACTGAAAGTCCCCTATAAAAAAAGAGAGAAAAAAACAAAAGAAAGGTATCATAGCTAAGAGAGTTGAGAGCTGATAGACCTAAACCTAGTTTATGTGCTCATTAGCTTTGGCTTATCTCAAAATATTAGAGGTAAAATATCCAATCTGCATCTCTTAACACAGTGTCATGTTGCTTAAACTGAAAGTTCTTGGAACTATCCGTGCCATCATGGAAACACTTCAGCCAGTTCTTGGGCATTAAATGTAACTTCTGTTCTGGCCCCCATATCATTCGACCATGCTTTCAACTTCATTGCGAAGTCAACTACAGAGGCCTAATGCTGTACTTTTTACGTTGGCCATAAAGTCTAACATTTACAATAATGAACCTAAGTTTTCTTTGCTTCAGAAATAAGAGGTGTTGATGACAGAGGAAGTCCTTTAGACCCTATAAACCTTGCCTGCAAGTGTAAGAAAATAATCTGTGAGTATTTCATTTAATACACTTTTCATTAAATGAAATTTCTTCAGAGAAATTGCAGTGCAGTCAAGTTGCATCTGTATTTTCATCTGCTCTTTAATTACCCTTTAACAGAGTGAACAGTAATTTCCTATTTGGATTCAGAGACTATGGCCATGCAGCAGTGAAGGGAGGTGTTGGTGTCTCAGAGAGCCGGGTCACATTGCATGGGTTTGAAGATGAGACAGCAAAGTAGAGTGGGTTGGAACTGCACTGCTCTCTGGGTGCCCTTGGGCCAGTTGCACTAATCTTTCTGTTCCTCCAATTCCACCTGTTTATAATAGGGATAGTATTAATGTCTACCTCACAGTCAGTGTGATTACTAAATGAGCTAATGTTTGTGGAAGAATATAAATGAGTTGGTTTTGTTAGGACAGTGCCTGGCATGTAGTGTTAAGGGTTCGTAAGTAAATGTTACAAAGAGCAGGCCGACCATTCTATACACAGCAGTGATTGAAACAGGAGAAAATGCCTACCCTCTTAGAGGGTACATTCTGAAGAGAGAAAATAAGCAAAATAAATTATACCTTGTGTATGTAAACTGAAAGTGAGGTGGAGAAGCATGGGGTGAGGCAGATATTGCAGCTATAAATAAGGTGGTCATTCATGGCTTTATTGAAAAAGTGACATCTGAGCAAAGCCTTCCAGGAGCCACGTGGGCATGTGAGGCAAGGACATTCCAGGTGGAGGGAACCAGAAGGCAAAGCCTCTGAGAAAGGAGCATGCCTGGCATGTTCGAGGAAGAGCCAGGAAGCCAGCGTGAGTACCGCAGAGCATCAGGGGAAGCCTAGCAGGAGATGAGGTGGTGAGAGGCACAGGTCACACAGAGTCTCTTTGGCCACTGTAAGGGTGTCACCTTTTATTCAGAGCACCATGGAGAGTCATCAAAGGTGTTTGAGTAGAGGAATGACATCCTGTGTTTAGAACAGACTGCAGGGGAATGAGAGGGCAAGTGGGATGTCAGCCAAAGAAAAGCTCTTACAAGAGTCCAGGTGAGAGATGGTGGGTGGCAGCTGGGACTTGGAGGTGGTCCAGATGGTTGAGACTTGGAGGATGGCAGCAGAGGAGGTCAGAAATGCATTTGTTGGTATGCCTGGCTGCTTCATTCTTGTATCCCCCATGCCTAGGTTTAGTGCTTGGCACTTAGTAGCAGCTCAGTAAATATTTGTTGAATGCATGAGTAAACGAGAGGTAAGCTAGGATGAATTCTCTAAGGCAGTGTGTCCTCACCTCTAAAATGAGGGCAGAGGAGGGCAAGAGCCTAGTGTCTACCTCTGAGTGTTACGGCAGAGATCGAATGAGGTCATTCCCATAAAGTGCTAAGTACTGTTGCTGAAACATAAGATAATGCTAGGATTTATATATGAAACACATAGATACAAAACATTTTGGGAAGAGTACCTTTGGAGAGATGGAGGATAGACTTTTACTCTTTACTTCATATGCTAAAAATAAAGGAAAGAAGAAAATACTGAAATGGTCATTTTTAACTTTCTTTTTGTGCTTTTCATTAGTTTTTGAAATTTCTCTATGATGAACATGTGGAGTGAAGACAGAAATGAAAGGATAAGATCCTTCAGGATTTCAGCTTTTATAAAGCATCAGAAATGTAAGACTTTTTTCTGCTTCTGCAGGGCCCATTTCTCCTACTCTTTGAATGTGGTTATTGGGCTTATTGTCTTCCCCTCCCCCTCTATTCTAGTGAAGAGTAAAGTGAGCTTTTGAGGCCATTACAAAACAAGCACTGAGTTCCAAACAAGCATCAAGCGCCAAACAAAACAACCTAATTCGTCCTCAAGATTTGGGGCCTCTTATTCCTTCAAAAGAACAAACACATCTATTTAGTGGTTAAGAGTCCCTTGAGCTGAAACCATTCATCACGGTAAGTACCCTCCATCTGTCTGAGGTAAAATTATCACTAAAGAAATGGGGCTCCTTGTTGGAATTTATAAACTGAATATCCAAAGAAGGGTGTTGATGCTTTTTAAATGGGGACATTAAAAGGCCAAAGTAAGATGCATGGTTAGGGACAGATGTCACCAGAAAACTTGGTTGTTAAGCCTACTCTTAGGGCCACGTCAAGGAATGATTGCGATAGAATGAGCTCTAAGATACAAGCGCTTTAGCACCACGCTTCCTGGGCAACAGTGGGGGTCCTATCACCCCGCTGTCTCTTAGGCTCCTGGTCTTCAGCACTTCCTTCCTGTTAGCATTGCTGGTGCCAGTGTGTGTGTGGCTATGGTTTACTCTGTGCTCACATTCAGCTTGCTAAGATCCAACAGGCAGTAGTTCTCAATCTTGGCTGTACAGTAGGAAACTCCTGGGGAACTTAAAAAAAAAACAGGCACCTGGGCACTAGCCAAGACCTGTTAATTTAGACCCCAGGCATTGCTTTTTTTTTCTTAAGCCGTCCAGCTGATTCTAACGTGCATCCAGAGCTGAGACTCACACTGATAATTAAAGCTCAAGGAGTGGCCTTCCCAGTGAGAGTTTTCCCCATTTTTCTTGGGGATATGGAAGACCAGAAAGCTGTAAATATCCGAAGGAGTATAACAAAAATAATCACAATGACAATAATAATAATAATAATAATATTGTTAGTATTAAGTTAAAATTCGTTTAGCCTTAATTGTGTTAGTTAATTTAATCCTCAACAAGTCTATGAGCCAGTCACCATTATTATTATTAATAAACCCATTTTACAGATGCAGAATCCAACACACCAAAAATGTATGGTATTTGCCAAGCACATGAGTGCTCAAACTGGGATTCAAACTCAGGTAATCTATCATCAGAGCCCATACTTGTCACCACCACATTCTACAGTCCCCCTGCAATGTTGAAATCACAGAAGGTAATGATGGGATTGCACCCACACTTACTGGTATTTCATCTCTTCTTTGCTAGGTTGTTCCATTCACACTCCAGTGGACTGCATTTTAAAAGCAGGATGTGGCTAATATATGCAGTTTCTCTGATATAATGTGAGTGAATCAAGATACTCCATTCCGTTTTTAAAGCAATGTAAATTATTAACCAGCATTCTATGATTCCTTTTGGAATCTAATTCATGAACTAAATCCATGACATCCATATCATAAATTTTCTATAAAACGCTCATCAGTTGGTATGTGATGTAAGATAAAGCAGTAAGAGTTCCTCCAAAGAATGGTCTTTCTGTTTGTGACAAATTATTCTTGGCAATGTCATTAACCAGTTGGGTTATTGAAACAGATGGGAAATGTTTCTTCCAAAATTTTAGCACTGAAATGATTCTTATTCTGTCTTGCAATAAATGTCAATTAAAATAGTTTTCCCTTCCCAGGAAAAACTAAGAAAAAATAGTTAAAAAAATATCAACTCTGATTGCCAGTGGAAATTTGTTTCTGTAACAAAACAATCAAAACAAATCAAATCCCTTAAAATTAGGAACAGACTGTCTTCTGAAGACAAGTTCACATCTGGAGATTTTTATAAGAGCCATTGGAAAAGTTCCGGTTATCTCTACTTTTAGCATAAAAAGTTTCTTATTGTTTGCCGAATTTGATCTAAAATGTTGCTTTTAGCCAAGTCCCGACACTGCTCCTATGGCTGGTAAATGGTCTCTGTGTTGACAAAGAAGGTCGTAGCTATAGAGGCTAAAGTGGATCATCAGCTGGGCACTCATTAAATATTCTTTCTAAATTATGCCTAAAGCCCATCAACTGCTGATTTGACCAACAAGCAAAGAGCTGACAGCAAGTAGCAAAATTAAAGAATCTCTGCTAAACCAAACACTTTTATTAGACTACGTGACCCTGGAACAATAGAACATGGAACCGCATCTGAAAATGGTCCCGGCAGCTCTGCAGCAATACTGGGCGCCATGGTGAGGCCTCAGTGTATTCTGCTGGCACAGAATGAGCTGTGAGCGCTTGGTGAGACAGCCTCAGAAGGCAGTAAGACACCTATCCTGGGAATCAGCACAATAAGCGGACTGGAAGTGGCCAGCTCAGGCAGTGGAGGCCGCTTGACCTTTGCTTGCTGTCAGTGCCCGTGCTGACATGGAAAACTTAGATTTGATGGAAGATTTTCCTACAAGTGTGCCTCAGAGCCTTTCTTATATCCTGCTCCCTGGTTCTTGTACCTCTTTTTCTGGATACAGTCACATGCATCTGTAAAAGTAACATAAGTATCAGACTAGCTGGCAGACTTGCATATATTCACTTTCCTAGTTTTTCTATAATTTCTTCACCTAGTTTTTTTATAATTTCTTCTATAATGTAATGCCCTGTCACTACTCTGGAGGCAAAGGGAATGAGATTGGTCCAATAATGAAGGATTAGGAAGTTTTCTATTTATTAACAAGCTCTCCCTTTTATTTCTAGGTCAGAAGTAGGACTTACTGGGATGTTAAAGGGAAAAAAACAAATGCATATTAAGTACCTACTGACAGGAGTTAATTTTAGTTTCATTATATGACGGCCTACAATCCAGGAATGCTAAAATCCTATCTTCACCTATAGCTGTGTCTCCCCTTGAGGTTCCCAATGTGGGATAGATATGTGTACAAGGATTAATGGAAGATAGAACATCAAAGTACCACTTTATTATTATCTGGATTTGTGCCCCAAACTTCAATGCAGAACTTGCTGGTAAAATGCACTGGATTACAAGGCTTAGAGACAAGGCCCAAGGGGTAAGATTGAGAGGAAATCTCTCTTTCCTTCTCAGCCCAAATCATAACCGTACCACCACTCCACACAACTGAGATAAAAAAAACACCTGAATCCAAGCACCCTTGGCCCAAGAGGAGAGGGAGGGGTGATGGCCTCTCTTTCCTTCTCGTGGGGAAATAGACCTCTTGTTTCTGTAACTACTTGATTCGAGGAAGCATGAAATAAAAACAAGGCCTCCACATACAATGATCCTGAACTCTAGTGTAAATAATCAGTGTCCTGGAATCTGGCCAATCAGGTTACAATTCCTGATTTTTAAAAGGGAGTTGAGAAGTGTGTCAGACCCCAGAAATCTGTACTTACTGTGTTCAGACTGTATATATATGATTTGCTATTGTCTTCAGACTTCTTCTTTATCTTCACTCTTGGCTGATTTCTCTGATCGTTCTTTTAAACGCCAAATTCTAATATCAAACTGCCTTTTCATATCTTCACTTAGATCTCTAATTGGCATCTCAAACTTGTCGTGTCCAAAAGTGAAGTTCTAACCTTCCTCCCCAAGCCTGTTTCTCCCTGTTTTCCTCATCTCGTTAAACAGAAATTTCACCCTTCCAGTTGCTCAGGCCAAAAAGCCTTGGCGTTATCTTGGACTCCTCTCTTCCTCATACCCTGTATTCAATGCATTACCACATTCTGCAGCCTCTAACTTCTAAGTAAATTCAGAATTTGGCCACTTTTCTCCACCTCTGTAGTTACCTAAAGAACTTGGGCTGCCTAAACAAATTTAAAATCCTAAGCTAGATCATGTTATAGGTTTATTAAAGACCTTCCAATGGCTTCTCATGTAAGTAAAAATCCCTACATTGGTCTAAATGTCATCTACACCCCCCCTGCACCTTTCTGACTGTCATCTCCAGACGACATGACTGCTGTCCCCTCGACTCACTCTATCTCCTCAAACATATTACACGCATGCCTACCTCAGAGTTTTGGCACATGGTGTTTTTTTCAATAAGGACTCTTCTTCCAACTGTCTGATTCAGTCATCCCTGAGCAAATGTCACCTTATCAGTAGTATGTATTTCTCTAACTCTCCTAATTTAAAAATCACAATTCCCTCTTGCTCTTTGCCTCCCCATTACCCTTTCTTGATTTCTTTTTCTCTTTGGCACTCTATATAGCTTTCTTGTCTACTATTTTCTAGGGAAGTAAGAATGAAGAAAGTTGAAGTTCAAATTCATTAAATCTGATCAGGTGTCTGTAGCTGGGAGAACCCAGGTCTTCTAAGCCCAGATCCTTCCCAAACACCACACTACTGGGTAGAAGGACTGGTGCCATTCTTGAGCTAAACAAATTGCATAAAGTTTAAACATTAATATGTGCAGTAAATCTACAAGGCATACAAGCAAGGTACATTTCCTAGGAAAGTATATATTTTCTGCCCACCAGTACTCAACATTTCCCCTTTCTTATTGAGGTATGGCATACAAACAGTACAGTGATCCAATCTTAAATATATATAGCTCAACAAATTTTAAATTTGTGTACTTCTGTGTAACCACCACTCAGACTAGTTATAGATCATTTCCAGCACTCCAGAACTCCCTTCCACCATAATTTTGATGTCTGTAAATACATGCACTAGTTTTGCCCATTCTTTATGTAAAAAGAAAAATACAGTATGTAGTCTGCTGTGCCTGGCTTCTTCTGCTCAGTATTATACTGTGAAAGTCACCCACGGTGTTGACTATACCTGTAGTTCTTTTCTTTTTCTTGCTTTGTAATATTCCATGACATGAATATACCATGATTAATTAATGTGTGTATATGTATGTATATATATGTATGTAGGTAGGTATTTAACCTACTGTTGTGCCAACTTATACTCTTATCAGCTATATATAAAAATTCTAGTTGATACATGACCTTGGAAATGTTTGATGTTGTTAGCCTTTTTAGTTTTAGCTATTCTGATCATTGTGCTGTGGTATCTCATTACCATTTTAATTTGCATTTCCTTGATCACTATTGATGTTAAGCACCTTTCCCTATGCTTATTGGCCATTTGATATTCTCATTTATGAAGTATCTATTCAAGTTTTTGCTTATTTTTAAATTGGGTTGTGTATGTTTCCAATCTTCACTTCTAAGTTTAATATATTTATGCATAATCTAGAGAAGAGAATGAATATTAAAGTAT